TTGCAGCTAATCCACAATATGTAGTGTATTTAAAATGCACAGAGTGAAAACAACAACAGATAAACATATAAAATAATCCTATCATGGGTTATGTAACTTACTCTAAGGCTTTGATGTTCATGAAATTGATAATACAGGGAACTTGGTGAGAAATTAAGACCTCAATCCAGGGCACCAAATGTCTCTCATACACTTAATTATGTAAGTATTAGCAGCATACTGCTTGTCCCTACTCCTTTGGTGGCTACCAAGTGCTGATACTAAAAATTTAAAGGCTGTAACAATAGATTTGTTTGACTTTGATTCTGACCATCCAGTGTATTTTGAGGACGGTGCTTTTACATATAAACTTGTGCATTATTTGGGACATTGAAGTAAATCACTGAGTTGTTGTTTATATAGTCTGAAATCATGCTATGGTCATTTTTTAAAAAATAAATGTATTTGACATACTGATTCATTTGGAATAATTTTAAAGACTCTCATGTAATGCCTCTACCTATATAAACAATTTCTAATAATGAAGTTTCAATTAAAGTTCATTTTGCTATACCAGAGAAGCAGTTTTCATTTCTGGTGAACCTTAAATTCATTCCACTTTTTTAACAGTATGAGCTTCTGTTGCTGAAAAATATCTGATAAAAACATCTTAGGGTACAGAACTTGAGAAGTGTTTTCAGACTGAAGCAACTTCCCAAGTTTTTCTTTGGGAACATGACACTTCTCTTGCCTGGCACATGTGACAGCTGTTGATCAGAAGATGATAGCATAACTGGAGTCCAGTGGTTCACTTTGAACAATTGCCAGATACAGCAGCAATAGAGACCTAAGAGCCCTTCAATTGCTGACATAACACTGTCATAACAGATGGCCCCTGTGCTCCTGTCTGCAGAGAAAACATGACAAGACAGCTCTTTCTGTCGGCCAAGTACATCTAACTCTGATTACTGCCCAAGGAAACTTGCATGGTTTTGCCCATGCTAGGCAAGTTCAGATGTGCCTAGGGTTTAAAAACAAGCAAGCTGGTGTGCCAAAAGCTAGTTCTCAGCCATATAAGAGGGTGGCCCTTATAATAGGATGCAGACACTTGCATTTATCCACTTTCATCAGTCAATTCCCCAGTTAGACCTGGAGTTTTGCTGCCAGTAGGTTTTATTCCCTCTTTTAATTTGCTGCATTAAAAAAACCCCCTTCTTGATACTTTTCACTCAAGCTTCAGTCTCTGCAGTATTAATCCTAACATGACAAAAATATTTGAATGTGTGAAAAGTTTGCATTTCTTTCTCTTTCAGAGAGTTTTAGGAACTACCATGAAACTACAGCCATTATAGGCAGGCATCCTGATTAACCCAAAGACAGATAGCATGGCACTTTATTCCACAAAGTGCTTTGTCAGTGATTACTGTCAATCTGTTCTATGCAGTTGGCTTTTCCAAGCTGTGGTGGTTTTGGCTGAAGTAGAGTAAATTTTCTTCACAGTGGCTAGAATGGGGCTGTGTTTTGGATTTCTGCTGGGAACACAAGTGTTGGTATTTCAGGGGTGTTCTAGTTACTGCTGGGCAGAGCTTGCACAGGGTCAAGGCCTTTTGTGCTTCTTTTACCAGGCTGCCAGTGAGGAGGCTGGTGTTGCAAAAGAAACTGAGAGGGGACACAGCTGGGACAGCTGACCCCAAGTGAGCCAAGGGGTATATATCCTCTACTTCCAAATCTTATCTTGTGACTGCCTTCCATATACCCTCTCCCTTTCTCTCATGGAGTCCTTAGTGTTTCCAGCTTTCCATCATTTCCCCTCCAGCTGGTTCATTTTGATCTGACAAACAGGGTGTGTCAAGAGCAGATAAGCTCACAGGTTACTTTGCAGTTCTAGTAGACAATGCAAGCAGAGCATCCAGAGCAGGGGAGGCAGCTTTACTTCTCTGGCACTCTGGGTGAATCCCTCCTGAGTTTCTCTCTGCCTTTCAGTCAAGCACTTCAAGACACTGTCATTCAACAGTTTGGATGTGGAAGTAAAATGCAACTGTGATGCTAATTCAGTTTATACTCTAAAACCCACCATCTGCTTTTTATTTTAAGATAATTCTACATGCAGTTTTAGATGCCTGCAGTAGCAGCCATGGGAATTCAGGCATATGGCCACTACCATATGACAAAGTGTATTATCTAATAATTTCTAGTCTTTCTCATGCATCCACTTGTGCATAAGGTACTTCAACATAAAAGGCATCTTATCCTTTAATTCATTCACACAAAATTCTCTTCCAGTGAAATCTTTGGATATTTCTACTGCCTCTGCCAGCTGTCTGCCATTACAGCGTCAAAGGTTTGTGAAACTTGCATAATTCACTTTTCCTGTCATACTGAAGATAATAAATAACTGAATTCCCATGAGAAATGTCAAAACATTGGATGACATTTTACAGTCTTAATCTGATCTGAATAAAAATAGAAGAATGTTGTCTCATCATACGAGAATCTGGGGCAGATTTGTTACCTTCACCTCAATTAAATGTTTAGAACAAGATGTGTCAATATATGCACAATAATCTGGACAGCATGCAGTCTCTCTAGTTAAACCAAATGGCTCAATACTCTATGCAGAAAACAGGTTATGCTTATTTTTCCAGGGTGGGAGGAAAATATTATGGGTTCTGCTGAACTAGAGTTAAATACCAGTAGTTCCATACATACACACATGCAGGAAGGAGCCTTGCTGGGAATGTGTAGTATTTGATAAAGAAACGTGTGACAGGAAAGGTCCAGATGTGCAAACATGCCAAGAGGCAGGCTTTTCAGCAGAACAAACCAGCTCAGTAAGCCCCCTAAGAAAGGGGCAGCAGGGAAAATGTGTGTGTGCATGCAAGCACGTGCACACGTGCAGCAGAGATTTTTATATCCAACTTGAGTATTATCTGTGAAACAGCTTAAGACTGCAGCAGTTACCCAGTTCTGTTCCTTGGCTGGCATGCAGTGTCCCTTTGCAGTGAGGGCAAGCCAGCTGACATGGCAATTGGATCTCTTGATTCGTGTTTCTTGCAAAGAAGTAAGAGATCTCCTCCCTAATATTACCTCCATGCTCTCTTTTCCTGAGCATACAAAAACAATCCATGTACCACAGGATGGATTTGACCTTTGATGTGTAAAAGACCAAAATTCTCCACCCCACCCTTCCATAGAATTGCTACCTTGGACGTTGGTTATGAACTGAAGGTAAACCAGTTGCTTTAGAAAGAAATCAGTAATAAGCCCACTCCTTTTCATCTTCAGTACTGTAAAAATGAAACCCAAACAAGTACAGAAATATCCATTCCTTAATCTGTTTATAAAGGATCTTCAGTTGTATTAGGAGCTCATAGTAGCAATTCAAAAGCTAAATATAAAAGCAGCTTTATGAAGTACTTATAAAGTCAGTAAGAGGCTTTTTATTTTTAGCATATTTTCCTGTGAGATAAAGATAATGAATGTAGAAAGCATCCAAACCCAAAATGAGAGACGCAAAAGAGATCCCACGATCTGCACCAGGAGTGTTACAGAATCAGCGTGTAGAGAGCAATGTTCTGACAACACCATCTGCTCATTTGTGCTGTTTTTTCCTATTACCAGCTCTCTTAATGTCTCCTGCATGATTTTCTGTGGAAGTCAGGAGGAGTGTATGATTTATTTTGACATTAATATTTACCAGGCTGGTGTATGCTTAAAGTAGCCAAGATGCTGAGAATGTTTGCTCGTTTAGAAAGCCATTGAAATGGTTTTCCTTTTTCTTTGGAGTCATTAACAAGTTATTTTGTCACTTCACTGTTACATAAAATTCATATTCCATTCACATGGCATTAATTTAGGTAAATACCACTAGTTTTGCTCTTACTAGAGCTGTAGACTGAAAGAGAAATTGCTTTGGTTTTTAAAAAGCTTGCTGGCATTTTACATTGGTCACTAAAGAGCAGTGAAACAAAGTTTCAGGCTGTGAAACTTGAAGTCCTTTACTATTAACAATTTACTGGGAAATTAAACTTCAAGATACTCCTGCAAAACTCATTCTGGACACTGAAAATAGGTTTGACTGCCCCTTTCTGAAACCTAAAAAAGATATTTCATTTGAATTTATTAACATTTAACAATTGTCTTGCAGATTCAGGATAGGTAGAATTCCTGACATGCAGGGTTTTTTAGAGTTTTGAAGCAAGTCTCACAAATAAGGTTTGTGTACTCTGCTGAAATACAGCAAACGTGTGCACAGTCTGCACATTTCAGACCTGTTGCATGACTGCATTACACTATGGATTGATACTCTTTCATCCAGAAATGGATTAAAGAGCTGACAGATTTCTTAAAATAACCATTATGAATGTGAATCATACTGACAAAAGCAAAGAAATCCCATTCAGTAAAGACATCTTGCCTCAGCCAAACATTCTCATTAATGTGTATGGTTATATATGATTTATATACAAAGTTGTTTTTTTTAAACAGCTGGGATAGAAGCCTAAAACTTCATTTTTTCTCATTAACAAAAAGATGACCAAAGTTACGTACCAGTGGTGTTGATGCCATGCATGTACCAGAGAAGTTGCTCTTAAATAGCTCTGTGCTCTAAGATGGGGTCATGTATTGCCCCTTTAGAAGGGACACTGATATGCCAGAGATGCACTCACAAGCAGAGACAAAACTCAGTGTTTGCAATTCTCCTGCACAGGATGATGTTGTTTTTCACAGCAATTATTTTCCTAATATATAAAGGACAGAGGCTAAAATGAAAGAGCTGTAGTATACTGGAATACAGCAGCTTCTGTTGGTTAGTTAAATTAATCCTGATGCCACCTCTTTTTTATTTTTTTCACATTTTGACATTTTAAAAAAAATTGATGTAGATATTTACTAATATATTGGAAGAAGCTATGCGAGATACAGTATCTTTAGTGTTTAAAATCTTTGGGAAAATTAATGTTAGAAATGCATATATGCTGTAAAACATTAACTCTGCACCTTTTGTTTTTTAGGAGCTACAAGAACTTCTGAAAGAATTTGTGACAATGTGCAGTCTTAAGTGCTGCAGTCTCAGAGCCCTTTTTCTATTGCTGCTCTATAGGTAAGAAGTATTTGCTAAAAATATTATTTCTTCAATATATTATTATATCAGTTGGTTTATAATCAACTTACTTATAATTAGAGACATATCTGATGAGGTAACAAAGGAATATCTTCTCGGCATTTGAATTTTACCTCTTACAAAAATTAAAGAATCTGGGTATTAAAAGAAACACAGGACTGAGCTTCATGAATCTCAGTTGCCTTCATTAACAGATTTTTTTAATTGGAAAGATTGATGAGGAAGGAAAAGAATGGAATTTATGAAGCATTTGAACCCTCCAATAAAGGATTGCTGGGTACAAAGTGAGTGTTGTATCAGATGCTTAACAAATTCAGATGGGCACATGGTCCTTGCCTGGAGCATAGTGCCTTGCCCTAGGGCACAAGCACACAGTCCACGTAGATTTACTACAGGTTTGAGATAGTAAAATCATTGTGTGCTAAAAGGAGAGTATCTTAAAAAGAATTACCCATTTTTAACGCTGTTTTCTTATTCTCTGTTATGAAATCATGAAGTCTTTAGGAAATCTGAGTTGCATTATGCTGGAAAGTGAAAATGATCCCCTCTGGCTACACATAGCCCTTCTAACAGTACAGATGCCATGACAAAAATATAGAAATGGAGCACTTAAAATATATTCCTTGGAGAAAAATGGGCAAAAATATTATTTAAGTAATTCCAATAAGACAATGTAAGCATGGACAGGTTAAACATTCTCATCACTACTTTCACTGGAAGTATTTAAAGTCTGTGAGCCAATTCTTTGTCTAGAATTGCCTAATGTACTTCATCTCACAGTAGATTCCTCAGGGTAAGATTCTGTCTGAGCTTTAACTCAGGTGGGTGTGCAAACACTCGTTTAGAGAAAGCTTTCTCTTAGTAGTGGCAACAGGTGGAGCAGTCCCCTGAAAATAAGTTTAAAGCATCGGCCTCCCCCACCTTCTCCAGTCCTACAGAGAGGTCCAAAACATGCACTTGCTCTAATTCCACCTTCTTTCCTCATCAGCCGTGACTTGCCACGCTGTAATGAGTGGATGACTCATGGCTTAGCCATAATAAAACACTGCTAAAAGACCAACAATTTCAGAAGCACCTAAATTACAAGGAGGCAAAATTCCCCCAGGAGCTCTGCCTGTGGTACACATTTCATTAATGTCAGACAGACTTTGTGAATCCTCTTACAGCTTCATCTGGCTGTGAGTGTCCAGAGGCACAGGCAGTTCATTCCTGAGTGTCACCCGTGGGGTAAAGTGCACACACAGCTCCTGGGGGAGTGCCTGGGTACACCTGCACAGCGTCGAGCTGTTGTACCCAAATCCAGACACAGGCTGAGAAGCAGATCTTGCCCTCGGTTATCTCACAAGCAAGATGATGCTTGGGTACAAAAATGCATTTTTCCAGTGCACAAATCAGGAGGGTTTTGTGAAAGTGCTGTTTAAAACAAAAAATATCCCGGTTGGCACTGAAACAGAGAAATATTTCTAAACAAAACCCAAGTGCTGAGGTGCACCCAAAGCAAAGGCCATGATTTTTCTGCCAAGTGGTCCCTTAGATATTCCACTTGGAAAAGCTCTGCCTAACATGTGAAGAGAGTTTCTTTTACTGAATAATTTACAGTCAGTAATGGTATGGGGTTGTTTTTTTTCCTTTCTATCTCTTCCTGCCTGAATGACACTTCTTTACTTCACTTAACATTAAATTACATTACAATCACAACATGGCCCCCTTTTTAGTGTTAAAATCTATATCTGGGTAGTTGCTTAAATGATTTATTACCCAGAATTTTTTTAAAGTAGTTATGAAATAAATTGAGACAAATTTATCATTATCGGGAATCAGCTTAAATAAATGCATGCTATTTGGTCTGAAGAAGGGTTCCCATTTGTTTCAGATAGGGTCTTTTTAACATAAAGAATGCTAGCCTAGGTTTAGGGAATCAGAAACATAATTCTGTGAAATATTCTTTTTTTTTTTTTTGCCTGAGCTCAAGAACATTTGTGGTATTTCACTGTTTGTTCTTGTGCCTGGCAACATGATGCTAATTTCAACCTCACCATTTAACAAAAAAAAAAAAAAAAAGGGGACAGTACTGTCCTTTTCAAAGCAGAGAATTAATCAGTGACGTAGACTTTGCTACAGTTTATCTGCAAAGATCATATAAACCCCCATATCATTGAGCAAAGGTATGAAACCAGAAATAACTTTATTTGCATCTGTAAGCCCTTCGTCTGTCAGTGAATTGCCTGAAAAAAAGCTTTTTTTATTCTTGTTTTCCTGGGGGGAGTGTTTCAAAAGCCTGTTCAAACTGTATCTGGCATTTTGTTTATCTTCTTGCAGTTCTAAGGTGTTTCTGTCCCTTTCATGCTTCCATGATACACATTTTCTGACAAAAAATAGCCAGAAAAAATATTCCCATACATGTGTCTAGACTGTACTTATGCCTAAATAAATGATATATACTGCTGTTTAGGGCAAATGTTCCTTTTTTCCCTTCCAGTTACCCCATTCTGTTAAGACACTCACTTGAAGGTACCTTAAATAACAAACAGTTGTTGCACCTTTCAAATGTAGCCAAACCCATAAAAATCGGAATTTTTGAGTGTAAGAACGACTTAGGAAAAGAAATAATTATAATTCAGCTTTTATAAAAGCAACCAGAGGGCATTGAACCTGATGAGTTAAAGCATTTATTATGCATTGACAGCCCGGAACAGATAGATATTCTCAGCTGAAAAATAATTATATACTCAGGTTTTTTTCTGTAAAAGACTGTTCATGCCTCCGTTGCTGGAACACCTGTTGCAAGGTAATTCCATACTTAAATGCATGCCAAGGTATTTTCACATTAAGAAATTTCGCATTAAGAAAATGGAGGAACTTAAACAACTTCCCTTCACCGTGAAACATAAATATAACAACACAAATATTGGTTAAAAGAGAAGCTTAGATGCATTGATGAGAAGATGCAGAAGTGGAGCGAGTCTCAGGTTTTTCCTTTGTGAATGTGGCTGAGCTGGGCACAGAGCGTGTGAATCAAAGAGCACTGTGAAGGTAGCAGGGAATCATCCCTTAGAACACGGAAACCCCAAGCTGCTTAGGGCACAGAGCCTCTGTAGGTTCCTTGTCTTTGAGCACTGGCAGTCTGCCTCTGAGTGTCCCCCGGGTCAGCAGGCTGGTGACAGCACACACTCACGCTTAGGAGGCCTCAGGTTCCTTTCCCTTGTTGGCTTGCTGTGCTAGCACTTCTCCAAGGTTTAGTGGCCAAACAGGGGACTGTGCCTCATTAATTCACAGCCTCAATTACAGCACAACAGCTTTCCCAGGCTTACTTAACCATAAATCTCAAAAGACCAGTGATACGAGGCTACATGTCATGTGTTAATGAGGAAAATTATGAATTACCACAGGTCATTTAAGTGAAGGACTTCCATAAACATTTTAAAGACATATTTTGGAAAACAGAGTTAATGATAATGAAGCAGACCACTCTGCAATTGCATATTGATTGGCAGAATAATGATATACCCTAGCAATAGAAAAAACAAGTTTTCCTTTAACATTTCACAACGTGTAAAACTTATTCAAGAACAATCCAGTAAAGCTGTGAAGTTAAGCTCATGCAGCTCACTGAACACTTAGCTAAATTGTGAATTACAAAAGGAGAGATATCTATTCCAAGTACAGTATTTAAGGAATTAATTACATTCAGATGCATTTCCAATTTTAACACTTCTATGCAACATAAAACTGGCCTTCTTATTTATAGCCACATCTCAACATTACTGTGTTTCTTTAGGAAAAAACTTACAGGAGAAACTTCCCTTATTTCAATGCTGGTGTTACTCAAGGGTATACTTAAGTAACGACATAATTCTTTGGCAATACAGAAATAAAACCAGGGAAAAATAAAGGAAAAAATTTGATCATTCAAATAGCTAAGATATTTGTCTTATAAGGCAGCTAATGAAAAACAGCTACTTCTGTGGCAATAGGGTCTGGTGAATAAAAAATTATACAGCAATAGCAGCTTTTCAAGCCAGTGGATACCACATTTAAAAGCACAGTGTGATTTGGCCATGTGCATTCAGTGAGATCATCTTAGCATTTAAGCTTTTCCAGGTTAAGATACTGGATTATTCCTGGTGTCTCAGTGTCCTGACAAAACAACGCAATCTTTCTCAGAAACAGCAAAATTAAAATGAAAACATCAAACTTTGGAAAGCTCCAAGAGACCCAGAAATATAATGCAGAAGAAAAAGCAGGGTTTTCAGGAGCACCTCCAGAAAGAACTGAGACTAAGAAATTCAGTGAGGATTTAGCACTATGAGGGAAGACCACAAAACACTGGCAGCCCCTTACCTAATGGTTTAAGCTCAGATTCTTCTCCCTACAAGCAAACCACTACAGCTCTTGCACCTCCTGTAGGACAGCTGATCATTTTTAGGGGCCAGTAAATCCCAGAGCAAGGATTAAAATCTATAGACCCTTCTCCTGGTGTTTATATAGGTGTCTGTTCTCCATCAGCAGAGACAATGCCTCTGCCAGCTGGGTTCACTAAAGCAATTAATTATTTGCTTCTCACCTTCATAATTCATGCCCCCCCTTTCTCAAATCATTGGGAGCAAGTCGTTGCTACCATCTGTGCTGTAATTTCTGAAGAGCACACCCTGCTCAGGGTCTCGGGGCGCTCACCTTCGGGGTGAGGCAGAAAGGGTTTGTAATTATTTATATATCACTTCTATGGATTGTATTTGTAGCTGTTTCTGAACTGAGGAAGTACTTGAATTCTCATCATGCTTCACTGGTTTTGGTCAACAGGATTATTTCTGTAGCCTGTTTAAAAATTGTGTTGTGAAAGCAGGATTTTAAGAGTGTTTTTATGCACTAGTCTCTGAGGTTGGTTTCTGTCTCTGAGACCTAAATATACTTTATTTCATTATGTAAAAAGAAGCTTTATTTTAAATGATGAAATAAACAACCAGCATCCCTTCCACATTCCTAGCTTATAACCATAATGCCCTGTTTACAGATAAAGTATTAAAGAAGATTGTTTCTCAGATGGAATGTTAAGAAATAGTAGACTTCAAAGTATAAAAAGAAATAGACTTAGACTTTAAGGTATAAAAAGAAATAATAAACTTTAAGGTATAAAAGAGCTTTTTTTCTAATAAGAGACAAATACAGATTATGAAATATGATATTTTTTGGAATTATTTTTTATTATGTCCTTTTAAAACATCCTCATTTTCAATTCCTTTTAGGTCAATGGAAATTCCTGAAGCTGAAGGAAAAAGTGAAATTCTACCTCCAACAATACAAAAAATAATAAAAGGGTACAACAAGTATCTACGTCCATTTTTTGATAGTAAGTAGAAATGCTCTTTCAATAAGACTGAGTCATAACATAATGTGGTGTCTAAAATTCAGCAGTGAGAGCAAATGGGTTTTTCTGTACTTTTTTCCTCTGATATCTGACAGCCACTGATCTGATTACATATGTTCTGTGATATAATAAGATAGAGTTTAATAGCTTTTGTGGCCCAAGGTGAAATTTGTATATTCCAAGTATTTGCAAGCTAAACTTCCAGACTGTTAGAAAACTTGACTGTTATTGTATGTCTGTCTTCATGAAATAAGCTGTAACATCTTACCTATTTAAAAGTGTAATTTCCTCTAATTTCCTAAATAATAACTATAAAAAGCTTTGATTAAAGGTTTGAAAGCTTTATATATGAAGATGTTCATAACAGCACAGGCAGATCTTGTTACTATGCAAAGTACTATGTGCCTCAGCTATAAGATTGCAAGAGAATTATTTAATAAATGATTCTTGCCTCAGGTCTTAAAGCTCACTGAACAGATTTACTGAAAATTGTGGGGGGGAAATGAATTGAAAAGAGAAAATGAATCAAAAATGTCAGTTCCCTGCGTCAGAAACCAATGGTCACCAGATTGGAAGAGCCACATAGTCTGCTGCATCAAGGCTGATTTTACTGCCCTGCAGTGCAGTCAGACACCTGAAATCTCAGTGAGAAACCTCCTTGTCTGAGTCAGGCTATTGGATATATAGAAGTACTGAGGAGTTATGAAGTGGCATGAAGAGCTTGTCTTGGAGAAAGTGCAGAATACTGAAGAAGAAAATATTCTGAATGTTGAAAAGAAGCTCAGCACCTTGTGTCTGTCAAGAAATAAACTTGTAGTGTGAATGCTAGGCAATAGTTCTTAAACTAGATGTTTGCAAATGTTAGAGATATGAGTGCAAATGAAATATTTTATATCCCTTTATATGCTATTTTAGTGAGTTTCTAAGACCATAGTGTTACCTCTTGCCATCCAAATACCTGGTTCAGTATGGATGCTCCACATCACGGGCTGTTTCTGAATCCATTTATAATAATTTTAAGATATACCTGTATTTTAGGTTGAAGAAAAAGGAAAAAACTATTTCATCAGTTTGTTTTTATCATAATTATCTTAGCTGATGATAAAACTGCTATAAAATATTTAATGCTCTAAGGAGACTGACAGCAAAATAAAAGTAACTTTAATAAATAAACTAACTCTTCCTCATTGGAGATGATGCATAATGTAAAATAACTGTGTTCAGTGGCAATTAATATATTTTATTCATTACCTTGTGTTAGTACTAGAGATATGTTGGCACTGCCATGATGAGTGTGCTTGGTTAGACAACAGAGTCTCATTTCAAAATCCTGTAATAGCAATTAAGACGTACTGTAAAGCATATTTGAGTTACAAATCTCCCTTTTCTCCATCTTTTTTCCTCAGCTGTTGTATTGCAGCAAGGCTATAGTTATTTCTTTGTCTGGGTGTTTTGTTCAGAGGGATGCTGAGGGCTCTCTGGGTGCCTAGAAATCCCAGAGGAGCTGAGGCACAGATTGAGTCTGTCGCACACAGAGCCAGTCTCACACCTCCAGACAGCGCCAGCATCGCTGCATATGCTCACTGCAGCTCAGGCATGCACACCCTGCCTCAGAAACCTTTGATGGAGCTTTATTAGCCCTAGTGCTGAAGGAATGAGATGACACTCTGAAAAAAAAAAAACATTTTATTGATGCCACTTCTAAATGCTGGGTTGGTGGCTTTGTGAGAAATTATTTTCTTTGTGGGAATAATTTGAGTTAGGATGACTCAGGCAATGCTTCTCCTGATTTTTGAACCTGTAGCTTTTTGAGAGATCATTGGGGATCACTTTCCCTCTTACAGAGGAAGGTGTGCTTGGGCTGGGGAGTGGTGTCAGCCTCGTCCTGACCCCTCTCTGTTACTGGCAGGGTGGGCTACACTTTGTGTGAAGGTCAGGCTGAGGAGAATCTGTTGTTCCTCTTGGAAGCAGAGCTAGCAAACTACCCAAATCCTCAGCTTAACAAACCTGTGGAATTTATTTATCTCTGTGGCCTCAGCTATGCTAGCTTTGTTCCATGTAATATTTTCCTGGTTTATATGGTGGTTTTTTGCCTGCAGCTGGTGTACCTTGTGTCTGTTCTTGGTAACTGGCTTTACTCAAGTGGCACTGAGCTCCTTAATACTTAACAAAAGGAGTTTTAGTCCTGAAAAGAAAATTAGGTATAAACAAATGTTCATAAAATGACCGTTCATTTCTCCTACAACCAGAAAAAACAGAAATATTTACTAATTAAGTAAAATTTATGGCATCTCATAATTTTTTTAGTTTAATAAGCCCCCCATTTGCTTATTAATTTGTGTTTGGTCTTTGTGCTGGGACTGGCAGATGACTGGAAATGTCCCAACCACATACCCCAACTCAGGCAGTGTCATTAACAAGGGGAATATGAACATCTTTTTCGTGGATGAAAGTCCAATGACTGCATAAGAACATAAAAACTGTTTTCTCCTCTCCTTGCATGGACTGAATCTCCTGCTTTTCTGGATTTTAATTCTGGATTTATCTCCCCTTACTTGGTCATTTCCTCCTGCACACTCACCCCATCCAGACCCTGGCTGCACAAACGTTGCCATTTTTGTGTAACACAGCCTGTCCTTCCCATCTCTAAGCATCTAAATTGGGTGCCCAAAGTTGGATTAATTGAAGCCAGCCTTAGTGTTTCAGAGGCCTATGGACAAGTAAAACTGGCTGAGTGTTCCATGTCTGTCCGTGGTGGGTGGCACGTACCGGTTGCCGCATTGTGAGGGAACTTCAGACACTGCTAGCACAGAGGAATCTCAGCTGGACTGGTTACTGAGCCCTGCCCTCATCTGAATTTTGCTATTAAGAATGTTCTCTTTCCTTATCTATAGCACTTCAGTGTCCCCCTTTGAGCTGGTTCATCAAGCAAGTCTTCATAAATTAAGCAGATAGGTGCAATAAAGAATTAAAAAAAACCCAAAGCCCTGATCTGGAATGATTTTAGCCATTCCTTGGACTGGAATATAAAATGCTCCTATACTAATGTTAGTAGATATTACTCCTCAATATAATAATATCTATCCTACCCTTACAGATATATATGGAACACTTCTATAGAAAAGCTGGTATAAGGGATTTAAAAATCAACAGTTACTTCCCTTGAATGTGCTACATTACCCTGACACTTTATCTCAGCAATACCAGTTGATTTCCACCTCAGGTTTTCTGCTGGAACCATGTAGATCAATTTTATAACTTTATGTGCTGTGCTAAACTCTCTGAATTAATGAGCAATTCCTGCAGACTTCAGTGAGCCTTGGATTAGGTTCATAGGGTTGTCAAGGGATGCATAAAATCTTGTAAATAATTTTATACAAATAGATTTTGTTCTGTGATTGAATGTGATAATTTAAGTGTTCTAATTAAAAAGAGAGATACTAGGAAAAGGTCACAGCTAAGTATATTTGAATATGGAAGCTGCTTTCAAGTGGTACAGAAAAGTGTCATGCTTAAATCAGATATTCTAAATAATATTTAAAATATTATTTTCCTTCACTTCATAATGAGCAACACATTTTATAGACATAAGTTTTAAATTAAAGCAAATAAAATTTTGGTTCAACCTTCTGTCTAAGACCTGTCATCATGGTTTTTTTCCCCTCAAATGTTATTTATATTAAGTTCTATACATTTAATTAGATGAAAGCATTTTAGTCTTCAGAATTGTACAAAAGAGACATCAGAATGTTAGCTGTGTCTAACACCCTTTGGTTTAGTGAGGCAAACTTGCAGGGTACAAAAGAAAGAAATACCAAATAAACATAATCTAAAGACTATTTTAAGTCCCAGCTAGCCAATATCTAATTCTTTAGAGAAAAGCAAAAAGCCCAGAATGTGTAAACTTCAGTATACACATGGCAATGGAGATTTTCCTTCTTTTCCCAGAAGACACACTAAGAGCATCTGATTGCCACCAAACCCAGGTTCCTGCATGCAGGACAGTTTGGGTTTTGGTTTTTGGCAGGGTTCTCCCCTGCCTCTCCAACCCCTCCAAAGGGCTAGCTCCAGAGACTCTAAATTATAAATGGTTTATATATATTTATATAAACTGTTTATATAAATTATGTTCAGATAGTAAAAAGATCAAATGATTTGAAGTTTCCTGTTGTCTCCAGCATCCATAAACTGGGATCTTTGCTTTGCCAAACAATGTGCACAACTAACTACTGCATGCATTTTCTGACATTGGACAAGTCACCTTTCTGACTTCTCTTTGAGGAGCTGAGTAAACCATGCTCCTTGATTTTTATGTTACAAGATTTATATTAAGCTTCCAGATCTTTTTGTCTTTTGGAATATTCCTCTTTCTCTCAACCAAACAGTGTCTGCTGTTTGCACATTTTATTTAAACATGGAAAGCGAATCTTGTCACAGTCATAACAGTCTTGCCAATACAGAATAGATTGCAAGATAACTTAATTCTGTGCATTACTCCCCATTGTAATAATGATGCTGCCAAAGCATAAGATGGAAAGAGCATGTTAAAATTATTGTCTGTGACAGACTCTAAATCCTTCTCAAAGGCACTGCTTGCCAAGATGGTTTCCTATCCTGTGTGTGCTTATTTGTCCCCACATTAATTGCTTGCATTTGGCTGTATGGAAACATGGGGGTTTTGGCAAATGATTTAACAAGCTGTTGTTAACATGCTCCTCACCAATTTTTGTCTTGTCCACAAACTGTACCAGCAAAGCAACATCAATGTCTAAAAATTATTGATGTTAAACAAATAGCATTGAAACTGATTTGTGCTAGAAATGGGTCTGTCTTCTGATGCCTTCAAATCAAGAATTACAGTTGAGATCTGTCAGAAGGCCTGTCTTAACCTGCCCACTTTCTTCATGTAACTATTTGTCAAGAAAGATGTCTTGTGGTGGGAGGTTAAATGCACTGAAAAAAACCCTAAGTTTTATGTAAGAATTCTGTAATGCTCCAAAGCAAGGCTGGCAATCAGAGGGACAAAATGAGTTTTTTAGGAAGCTATAATGAATGATTCTAGTGATAATTTTTCCTTCTAATTTTCTGTTTACTTGCAGTATTTTATCCAGTATTGCTGAAAAGATAAGGCATTCTTCCAAAAAGCGTTTTGAGGCCTTTTTGAATGTCAGAATTGTTTTGGGTTTTCTCAAACTAAATGAAGAAGGGCTCATGCTAATGGCTCAGCACTGGAAGTTATTGATCATGCTGATCCATTGCAGTAGTAGGTACATACATGACACAGTGCTGGTTTATTTTGCTGCTACAGACTGGGATCATTGCAGTGAGTGATCCAAACTTAATTTTTAGGTATGCTATCTGCCACTCTTCTGGCTGCTTTCCCATTTGGGATTACTAACTATGAATATCTATAAAGGGCATAGAGGAAGAGTTTACATAAATTACAGTAAAATTGAAACGTGTGTTGCTTGGGCTGCACAGCCAGTGCTGTAACAGGGCACTCCCTTTGGCGATGCTCTGCCATGCTTTGAAGATTCCCTTCGATAACGCGGGACAGAGTGACTTCAGTTTTCTTCTGAAGATCGGTAGATTTCTTCTGATGCTGTCATTATGCATAGAACTTCTGCCAAACATATGGAAATGTAGGAACTGACTGCCTCATCTGGTTTGCTGCCCAGTTTTTGACACTGTCAACAGGAGACCTTCCAGAGGAAGTTCAGAGGAAACCCTGGTGAATAATTATGAGCAGACTCATTCTGTTATTAGTACTTTACAATTTATGGTGCCTTACTAAGTAAACATTTATCCTCACATGCAAAAAAGAAATCAGCTTTTAACTATTATTGTTGTTCTGATTTAATTAACTGCTGAAGCAGAGCTGTTCTCAGCATCTTGTATTGTGTTGATAGAGATCCTTTCCATAATTTGTTTTCCTGCACAACTCCTCCCACACAGAATATTGCTGTACCCGGGGTGATGAAGTTTTCTGCTGAGTTTTTGTGGGTGCTGGGCTGGGCAGGCTGGCTGCACGTGGGCAGTGAGAGCTGTTGGCTGGAGCAAGTGGAGCAGGATGGTTTTGTCCTGACTGTGCTGCCACTCCTTGGCCCTTGAGCCCAAGGCAGGTCTGTGTTCAGTCAGTCTGAGCTTGAGGGACATCTCAACCCGAGCTGGATGTCTTGTGCTGCTTGGGAGTCACCCAGCACTGCAGTGCTCTTGTGTTGCTCAGTAATATTTTGAAAAATACTTCATCAGGAAAGAAAAAAAGGATCTACAAAGTTTTGTTTGTCTGATTCCTGAGAAATTACCCCCTGCTTAATTTCAGTAATCTTTCTGGAAAGTCAGCTTTCCCCCTCATATGCGTAACAACCTAGCACTGATGATACCAAAATGCTGCTAATGGACATTTTCCCTGATCTGTATCACCTTGCTGGACAAGGATCAGGTATTGTTCCTACTAATAAATCATGATATAATAGAAAGAGTCTGATTATTCCCAGCCATGATTCCTGCATAGTCATCTGAGCACTGCACTGTCCTCTCCTTGGGGTGGTCCATCATCAAGCATGAGCTTTGCTGGATGGGGTTCTCCCCAAATCATCATGTGATAGTTGGCAATAATATGCTCTGTTACACTCATACATGGGAATCTCTAGGAAGACATTAAAAACCCCAGAATATGGATTATAAATCACATTATTTTAAAATTCAATGGTTTTTGAGGGTCTGACATATCTTTTGAGGCTGGCAATATTGTACCTGCACTTATGATATAGTACAATGGTAAGTATAAGTATTAATTGTTGTACCCCCGGTAGCTGGGATGAGTTTCTTAGGGGTTGAGCTTTTAATCCTGGAGAGAGAAAAAATAAATTTATTCATGGAGTATCAAAACATGAAAAGAGTGGGAAGAAACAGAAGAACAAGCTGTCAATGATCTGAGAGTTTTTCAGTCAATTTTTTTTCAAAGTTAACCTCCAAAGTCTTCTTTCAATGTATGAACAATAGTTTCTAAACCCAATGTATAATTTAATAGTATATGATAAACATGCATATTAGCACAGGGCATGCTGCAAACCTGCAGTCCTGTTGTAAGCTGGTGGTTTATATTTAAGCTTTCAACCAAGTCCAGAACAAAGGACTTACAGATTTTTTTCAGGAGTGACAGATGTGTAATGATTTTAACACGTGCATTAAACCAGAAAATATTTTGGAAAAAAATAAAAATACTAATATGTTTACACATCTTAGAATGATACATTTTTTTCTTTAGTGTTATTCAGGAGGGTGGAGTTGAACTTGATGTTCCTCTGCATGCCATTTGGGGCCGTATGGGAGATTTCTACAAAATGTATTGCAAGGAGCCAAGAAGGGCTTTCAGCCATGTGAGATGGGGGCACTATCAGCTGCAGAGATCTTACCTGAAGTATTTCTGCATTTCTCAGTGCTGTGTTCTTTTCTTCTCAATTGCTTGGAAAGATGCACTGATTTAATACTAATTTCTTTGTACAAGCAGTCTTTTAATTATTCTGCACATATTCAACCAGGAATAACGTGTTTTCATCAAAGTTCTGCATAAATTCTGCATTTTAAAATGCACAGCTGGTGATCTTCCTTCCAACAGTGTGAAATGCACATTGAGGAGGAAATGAGAATCAGAGCCTACTGACATTACAATAACAACTACTTAGGTAAGGTGTTTAACTACATTGAATAGGCCTTCAGCTTATGACAAGTTTTCCTTTATACTTTCCAAGTATTTAAATCACAAGTTTCCTGCTAGTGGTCAAAGGCAAGATATTAAATTACAATGATACAATATATACCATAAATTTTTAAATGGAAGTCACTCAGCTGTGCCATCTGGATATTAACCATGTGACATTGCCAGGTGAAACTTCTTACTTCACCCACATCTGATGGACCAGATGTTGCAACTGGAAGAATTCTTTCCACTGCTCTGCACCTCAGAGCAGAAGAGTGTGATGTACCATGGGGATTGTGCCTTCCACACCTCATTGTGTAACATTTTCCCCAGCACCTTTTTTTCAGGGGAAAAAGTAATATAAACCAGGAAGTATTTAAGAAATAAAGCCTGTTTCTGAAAACTAAAATAGTTTTAGCTCAGAAGTATGACATTTTGGTTAAGAATGTGAAAATTCTTGCATAGTCAGTGTTTCAGGAATATTTAAGATAGCCTCTAAACATTTAGGAAGAAAAATGGAAAGATTTTGTAAACAGTTCTCATGAACACTGAATATTAAAGAATTATGAGCTACATTCTGACTTTTTCTTTTTTTTTTTTTTTTTTTGCAGATGGTCCTGTGTCAGTTGGAATGAGTATGGATATTGCAAGCATTGATACAATATCAGAAATAAATATGGTATAGCATTTTTGCAGTCTTTTCTTTGCTTGTTGATAAGCTGATGTCTTGTGCTTACAGCTGCTGGCAGCACAACTTTGGGCTTGTCTCCTTGTGAAGTCAGTATGGGTTAGGAGATGGAATTCTCTTTTTCACGACACATAGTGTTTATAACACTATAATAAGCATAGAAATGCAGCTGTGAATCCCACCTCTCGATGATACAAACAGAAATCTGCTACTGAGTATCAATCTTAATGAGAAGCATGTGGCTCAGTTCTCATTTTCCAGCTGAAATGTCTAAGTCTTTATGCATTTCAGAAAAATAAAGATGTATTCATGTGCCTTTGAAGCCACTCTCCCTGTGATTAGATACAGCTGAACTCAGGCTGTTTTTCTCTTCTGTTGTTGCTGTCATACATTAATTTATTCCAGCTGTGTTTCATTTAATTTGTAGCATTTGTTCTTGAACAAACTATGAAATGGAATGTACATTTCTACTTAAAGATCCTCCATTGGTACACAGAAATAAAAAGAAAAAATAATTAATCAGATATTACATTGAGTGTATTAGTAATTAGTAATTATTAGTTACTATTGTATTAGTAATTAGTAATTATTAGTTACTATTTAGGGGAAATAAGGTCAGAACTTCAGATGAATTTATAATTTTCATAAAAACACATAATAAAATCAAAAGTTCTTTTAAAAGTGTAAGAAATAATGTGATCTTAATGTAGGACTGCAAGGCATCTAAATTGAAGTGGAATTGGACTGAGTGCTGTGTTCAAGGTCTTGGTAAATTTGATGCCACTTTGTGATGCTAAAAGGAGAAATTGTGCTAAAAGATTCCTTTCCTGTTTCACTAACTTCTATATGAATTTATTCAACTTTTTGCCATGTGCTCTTAAAAAATTCTTTATTTATTAGCTTATGTGAATAAAGTGAGATTTGGAACCATTTACATAAATAATTCTAAATCTTCAAAGTTTACAGAGCCAGATTATCTGCTTACAAAGCTCTGAGGACTTCAGCTGATTCATAGCCCCAAGTAAGGCCAGCAGCTTTTACTGTAAATGAACATTAGAACAAAATCTACCAACCTCACATGGAGTGCCAGAAAATTTGGCAGAATTCAGTACAGCTGCTCTTGGAGTGCCAGGGACATGGAGAATCACAGTTTGTGCCCAGCAGCTGTTTCCATATACTTCTGTAAAAGTGAATACAGCACAGGCTCCCTTTGTATGATAATTTTGATTTTCTCTTTGAGGACTACACAGCTACCATATTTCTCAGGCAGCGATGGACTGATGAGAGGCTTTGTTTCGATGGTAATAAGAGTTTGAGCTTAGATGGTCGACTTGTGGAAATGCTTTGGGTGCCAGATACCTTCATAGTTGATTCAAAAAAGTCTTTTCTTCATGATGTCACTGTTGAGAATCGTCTCATAAGGATATACCCTAATGGAACAGTGTTGTATGCTATAAGGTATGTAAATACCACATATCAGCCTTTAGGATTGTGTCTACTTATGTTTCAAACTTCCCAGGTTCTGCTTAGCAAAATGGGTCTGTTTGTAAAAGTAGTGTCTTGTAGTTTTATGAATACGTAATATTCTTGATCAATATGGATAAATTCTTAAATTTAGTAATAGATCTTCCCTAAATAGACCCTTTTGCTTTCATGCAGGCTGAACACAGGAATTGCATGTTGCCATTCCAGTTTGCAGTGAAGCCATCGCAGGGGCAAACAAGCTGTGATGATGGATTTGCATGATTTATTGTGAATTACCCTTTGTAAAAGGTTTTGATAAATATAACAAAATCTTAAAATATATTGCAAATAACAAAGGAAAATGTGTGCTGTAAGTGAGAAGGGAGCAAATGGTGGACTTTTTAGACCATCAGTGAACTCAGCTGTTCTGCTGTGGTTTCTGTTTGGGATTGTATTACTCTGATACATTAGATACCAGTAAATAATAGATTTTTCCCCCTCACAATAGATATCAGGCTGAAAATATTATTTCCAGAAGGATACATGGCATTTTTTATTTTTACTGCTGAACATTTTTGTCCCATCAATACTTAGAAAACTTTTTTTTTTTCTCCAAGGATCACCACAACTGTTTCATGCAGCATGGATCTGACTAAATATCCAATGGATAAGCAGACATGTACTTTGCAACTGGAGAGCTGTAAGACACTTAATCCTTATTGTTTTATACAATTAGAAAAATATCTGTGATCTATTTCTGCTACATATTATCAGAGTGGCTGGAATTTTCATAAAAGGCAAGGGACATGTGGCCAGCCCCTGCTGAATTACAGTGGTATCTGTGTGCAAAGATGTGTGCACATATGTGCACAAGAAATCACTGAAAATAGCATGGCAATACTGAATTGCTGTAGTGCTAATTAATGATTGAGCAAAATCCTGGGAGATTCTCACAGGCTTGGTTTTGCAGAGCATCCTGCAGTTACTGTCTTGGTCTTCAGAGGGAGTTCTGTAAACAGGCATTTTCTAGCACAGATGGGATAATTTTTTTTTCCTTTTCAGAGAGTATGTAATTTTTTCCCCCTGAGATAAAATTCCTTTAGGAAAGAAAGAAATGAGAATAAGGCTTATTTGTAAGGCATGTAGTTCATATTTAATAATTTACCATTTTCAGATCTTACTCTGACTTATTTCATTGTCTCTGTGTCAGTGCCCTGGTAAAAAATGTAATCAATTGATGAACAAGAGTAAATATATTTTTTTCATTTTATCAATCAATATCCTTATATTTTCTTTGAAATAGGTTCTCTAATACTTTGTAGGCATGGTTACTTTGCAAACACACAAACATGCACTTTTTAAATTAAATGTTTGCTATTATTCATATTACAAGAGTCTAGAAAACAATTTTTGCATGGGATAACATAGAAGAATAACCATTTCTGTAAGATGAAAATATATATTTAAAATATGTGTCAATACATGCTCAAAATCTTTTGGAAGGTTTTTCAGTACTTGTCAAGTTTTATTCTGTATCTTTTCAGAAATGTGTGTTGTTCATCTCCTGTTGTTAATGACCAATTAGATTGCCACAAAGTTTCATTTTAGACAGAGACACAAAGGAAATGGACCCAAAACCTTCTTCACACAGGCATCTGTCTAGAACAAGCAGTTTTTGAGATTTGTTTAACAAACTGTGATTTGAATTGGAATTGGGATTTGTCTTTATTTTCCTTTGGAAGAGCATATTGGCAAATCAATGTATATAGATATAAATCAATGTATATAGATTTAAATCAACAGCACTGCCTAATGAGTCATTTAGTATTTCTCTAGTTCCCAAATGAAATATATGTCCCACAGGAATTTACAATTTATTTGACAGGATTAAAAAAAAAATAAAAAGGAGAATTCCCCATATAATTAAAACCAAGCTTTTTTCAGATTGATTCCATCTGCTTTTTCAACAGCACACAAGTGTCTCCTGTCTGAGGGGAAAACCCAGTCGTGTCACAACAAATACTCCCATTACATTGGTGTTTAGTTTTGAGGAAAAGAGATAGAAGCAACAAATACAAAAAGGAAAGAGTGTGCCTTGGGCTGTGGCCTTTTCTCATCAATGCACTGCGGTCCTTTCTTTTGGGTAGGCTGGAAATGGGGTTTGTTTCCCCAGGTGATAAGCTATATTAATTTATAGATGAATAATGTCACCATCCTCCTGGCATGCTGCTTGCCAAGACCATTACCTGGGTTTAAGAATTGTGAATTCAGACATACGCACACATCTGCGTATTGGTGCTTGTAAATAAAATGTAAAATCTATAGCAAATATTTGAACTGAAACAAAGAGTTAGGCTTTTATTAAGTGATTATTAATATAAGGACAAATATGTCATGATATTATGCGGTAATGGCTTTACACCATAAAGCATCCCCAGTGACCTTTCCAACATACTTTTCTGCTGTTGCTAGTTAGTAACTTTAATTGACTTGTACTTTCTACATAGCAAAACACATTTTTGCCAACATGTTACTGTTTTTTCCCCCCCTTATTGCAACACTTTGGAATATGTTAGAAAACAGACACTTGGCACTCTGAGTCTCTTGATATGGGTGCTGTGACATTTGGGAAAGTGGAGGGATCCTGCCTTGGTTGGTGCTGCCAAGGGGGAGTTCCTGCTCTCTGCCGTGTGGCAGGGAACACCACCATTCATCCTTGTTGGGCTGAAGGGTTTGTCCTCACATTTCCCTCACACAGACCCCCAGTTCAAATACATATTCATGTCTTGGGCGCATCTCTGAAATTTTATTTCTTTTTGAACTTGTCGTTTACCATTTATTCAGTGAAGAGCCATGTGAAGGCACTTACCTTGTGCTTGACAATCAGTGAAAATTAAAATTAGCAACAGAAAGGTAAAGAAACTAATTTGTATTAGGCATTATGAATGTTTAATCCCAAATTTACTATTCCTGTAGTTAACCCTGTTGACATTAGCAGCTCATACTCTATCAACAATGTGCAGGAATGAGACATTCTGGGCTTGAGGAATTAGCTCGGATAAAAACTCAGTGTCACATAAAGAGAATAGAGATTACTTGTAAAAGCCAAATAACACGGGCTTAAGGATTTTGTCTCTATAAACTTTTGAAATGTTTTATAATTAGTAAAATGTTAATCCCTTGAATAAAGAACAACAGAGGGAGCACTGTACTATTTAACTTTAAAGACTGTTGGGAAGGCTCTCTCAGTAAAAATTCTTCTTAAGAGTTTTGGAATTATTATACTCAAAGAATTTTCATAGGAAGGATCACCCAAACCTACTAATTGTCCCACTAATGAGAATATTTTGGAACAAAAGCAAAAACCTCTGTTTCAAGACATGCTCGTTATCGTTCGTGTGGGCACCAAGAACTTCTCCCGTCTCACACAACATGGAAGGCTGAATATCTTATAAAAACAAGTGGTTCTTTGGACTTTATTTAAATGTCTGCAGTTCATTTATACTAAAGGAAGTAAAATAAATCCATGGCCAGAATCATGCATAAAAACTGGTTATATGAGCCTCCTTTTTTTTGACTAAGGACAATGCAATCATTTGTTTATAGAAAATGTTACTTCTATTTTACATCTCACAAATCTGGGAAATTTCCCAGAATGTGGTTTTAGGGAATTGAAAACTTAGCTTGGATGCATATGCTTTTGGCTTAGTCATTTGACACAAAAGCGTTTTGCCTTTAATTGCTATAAATGTGATAATGTGAGCAGAGATTCCAGGCCATGATACCTTTTCATGTAACTGCCAGTGATAGTGAAAACAAAATCTACATTTAAAGAATGAGCAGAGAAAAAATTTTCAGGTGAAATTGTCATTTAATAGATAACCAGCCCAGTGTTTCCCTACAATAAAATTTACAAACTCCTTTTCTTTTCCTGCTGAGATGGCTGAAGAAATCAGTTCTGTTTTGTCATTGCAAGAAAAAATGCCAATAACTTAAAAATATTGAGGCACTTTTTTTTTTTTGTTTTAATGCATCTCTTTTTTCTGTGATGCTAGGGCTTTGTTCTTTTTGCAGCATATACCCTTGTGCAATGTATTGCGTTATTGTCTCACTGTAATTTACTTACAGTTGACTGAAGTCTAAAAATAATCATCAGCTCATGTTTCTGTTCCCTAAGCTGAGCTATTAACTTGCACAATATAAATCTGTCAAATACAAGAATGATTGATCTAAGTAAGCTAAAGAAAAAAGATGTTCAAATGCTCCCTGTTAACATGTAAATTACATTACCATAATCTTGAATTAATCATATACACTAGTCTGTAAAGTAGCTGCCTTTTATATAATGGGGAAAAGCTACAGAGGTATTTTAGCTGTGATTGTGCTGCACATTGACAAGTGTGTGCAAAACACAGTTGCCTTCTGATAGATGATTCATCCAGCTCCTAATTACTGCTTGAAGGTTAAGAGGGAACCTCCTGGGGCCCCTGAAGCCTGCCTCGCTGTTGAGCCTGCAGAAACATCAGCTCTAAGCTGGTGTCCTTGGCAAGCATCTGAGCTCCTCAGCCAAAACCTTGTCCCAGGTGATGATTCAAGCTCAGGCTGGAGCACAGCACCAGTGAGCAGCAGCTGTGCTGCTCTCCTCATCCCTTCATCTCTATGGGAATGAGGACCAACCCGTTGCTGCACCGAGAAACAGCGCGACACACGGCACATTTCATGTCCAGTCAAAATGCTGGCAAGTGCTGCAGTTCAGAAAAGCTCTAGTTTCTTAGAGCCTAGTAGCTTTTGCCTTTAGAATACCAGATGGTGCTAATCTATTTTATTAGTTTGTCATTTATACTGAAATAGAAGATATAAAAAGACCACCTCCAAAAACGTCAGCTTTTAACTTACAAGACTTTGCATGATATTGGAAATTTTGTTGTGAACAGGCATTATAATCTGCCAAAACCCATCATTGTTTATGTCTAAATGTACTTCCAGAAATAAGAAACAGCTGAACCATAAGTGTGCTCTACACAAATTATTGTGCAAAATACAACAATTGTTGGCTTGTGTCTCGCTACAGGGGGTTATAACATCAATGATGTCATGTTTTACTGGACCAGAGGAAATGATTCAGTTCGAGGTTTGGACACACTCCAGCTGGCACAGTACACAGTAGAAGACCACTTTACCTCTGTAACTGAAGCTGTGTACGAGACAGGTAAAAACACCCCTAAAACACTTTCTGGGTGGAGTTTGAACTATGGCTTTGGAAACAGAGCAGCATTAAGGACCTGAGCACGCTGCTTTCTGTTAGGATGACAGTTTTCCTGTTCTAATAATTACATTCTTGAATCCAGAAATACTTTTCAAGTTACAAGCAGAGACCAAGCTAATATAAAGACTGAGCATTTTCTTGGAGGCTACCCATTATCTAAAGAATTATAAACAAGAATCTACTGCTCCTTCCATGCATCAGGGAGAGCTCTTGTGAAGGAAGAGGAGCATGCAGCTGGGCGTTTAAATTGGAGGCAGACCAGGGTACCCAGCTCAGATCAGCCATTCTGGCAAGTCAAAAGCTTCTATTCATCTGTGGAAATTCCAAGAATATGCTGCATGCTTTCACAGCTGCAGGAATTTGAGTTTCATGGCTACTGCTTGTAGGAGTTGCTGTTTCTGTGGCAGCTCTGCCCAACCTGGTGGGCAGCAGGAAGGAGATTGCTCGACCTGAGGTTCCTGTGCCCAGGGAAAGGTCAGGAGCGTTTCCACAGACCTGCTCCTCTGCCGAGCTCAGGAAACTGCTGAAGAAAGTTTCCTCTAACTGCAAGACCTAACCTCAGGGAACAGTGTGCTCTTGATTATTTTCCAGAGATTTTGAAAGGGATTTCAGAGTTCAAGACCTGCCAAACCTTCAAAACTGCAGTTTCACCAGAGGACATGTTTCTAATTCTGAATCACAGAAATATAGTTTCTCTATTCCTTTATTGGTTATTTCTGCTTTAATAACACAACACAGAGAAACTTGTGATCTAATTTCAGGTATTAATTCAGGCTAAAAAATTGAAGTTCTCTAAATAGATGTAAAGGTATAAATTAAATACATACATAAATATCAGGCTCGAGGATCACAATTTCTTGCTACTTATGTAAGTGACATCTGCTTGCCTTCCTCTTTACAGCTTCTGGGTAAGCAACATCAGGTTCAATCAAAGAGTAATCCTTTGCTGCTGTTCTGCCCAGAATGGTATTCCCCATACAGGAAAGTGGAAGAGGAGACCTGCTTAATTCCTATCACAGTCTATCACAGAATCAGGAGCTTAAAGACAAAAATGTTTGGTTGTTTTGGTTGGTTGTTTTTTTTGGTTTTGCTTGTTGTTTAACTAGATTGACTAAAACCAATTTCCAATTAGAGTTGAAGAGGTATGATCAGATGAACTGTACTCTTCTTCCAGTAAATGATGGTGTCTTCCTCCCTTTGTCTTGGCAGGAATCATATGTGTGAAGTCAAAAGCCACTTTTTGTTTTAATTACACGTTTTAAGACACACAGATTAATTCAATTAAAATTTCTCACACCTGCTTGTTCCAGTTCTTTTATTCAAGACAGCCATGTTATCAAGTGCTGTGCAATGTTCTTAAAATTGAATCTCCGAATCCTCTTAATTTTCTACCGAGTCATTCTGAACTAGGTGCTATTTTCTACAGTTTTTTTGGAAAGCAGTGCCTACTGTAGGCCATATTAAAAGAAAAAAGCAACAAGATTATGGAGCTGTGTAATCAATTTTGGAATGAAAAATGTTGTTTTGCATTTCCTCAGTGCCATTAATAGATATGAGAGTAGCTTATAAATAACAATAATGTTATAAATAACAGCTGTTTCTAACCACTACAATTCAAAGGACTAAAGCTAAAGTTATGAGAGAAGAGCTGTGTGCACTATTTCCTAACACAGCAAAAAAAGCAATCAGGGTTTGATACTCTGTGAACTTGAACAGGCAGTACAGCTGCTGTGCAAGTGAAATATTGTACAGCAGTGCAAAACCCAAGTTCACGTACAGGCACTGACAGAGCCAAATTTAAAATGCAGTCAGCAAAATTCCTGCATAAGTAACTTCAGTAAATTTAAGAAAAGGACACTGAGGATTAATCTTGTTTGTAGAACAGCATGTATCACATAATAGTAATCACATTACCGTAATCACATAATAGTAAGTCACTTTGAATAATGTTAGCTAGATTTCTGGCTAGGGTTTGGTGTTGATTTTGTTTTGGTAGAGAACAATTTCATTTTGGACATGGGTAATTTATTAGAACTATTGTTAGAACTATTTTCTACATGTCTTTAACTATAGTCCTTATTCTTTGTACACTGATAAACTCTTGGACTCCCAAACCATATTATCTGCATCAGTAGGTGCTGTGTTTTTATTTTAGCTGTCCAGCCAACACCACCTGCATTCTCAGAGTAATAAATACTAATATAAAAAGCTTGCTTTTCTTACTGGAAAAACATAAAAGAAATGAAGAACTGTTTCAGTGTAGCTTTTTTGTATAAATAATCAGAGAAATAAGGCTGAAATACATTTTAAAAATTCATTTAATCTATTCTTGTGTCACAAGGCAAGGTCATCTATATCTGCAGCCTACTTCCTGACAGATGTTTCTAGGAGTAAGTCAGACAAACCTCCAAAGTGTCTGCTTCATAGCCTCCCTAGATGATTTTTTTCCTGGTGTTTATTACACGCATATTTTCCTCATGTCTAATCTTGATCTCCCTTGCTGCATTTCCAACCCATTATGTGGATATTGAAGACAAATGTCCTGCTTTTTTTCAGCAGCCTTTTCACTGTATCAAGACTGATATATCTTTTCTCAACAATTTACCTCTTTTTAAATTCATATAAGCAATTTTCTAGATGTACTGTCTTTGCTATTGTTCACCCATTGAATTTTCATCTCTTTGCTGATATGCCGCACCCAAAAATGGGTTCCCATTAGATATCCTCTGAGGATGGAAGGGTTTACTTAATATGTTCCATGAAATCTGCTCCTCTTTATGCATTCTAGGCCGATATTTGCCTTTCTTGCAGAAAATTATAATGCATTTTTGACCTTGTTCAGCTAGTCATTCCTCCTAGTTCTCTGACTCCATTTTTTTCCTGTAACCACATGTTCCCTGAGCTCTGGGAGGTGGCGATTCCCATCTGAGTGCAGGACTTCATACTTGTTGAATTCCCTTGTTTTACTTGCATTTTAATAGTTGGTGAGATATTTTGTACTCCAGTCCTCTTCCCCAGTGTGCTAACTCCACCCCTAAAACACTCATGGTATGTCATCTTGTTAGGGAATAGTTTTGGGCACAGAACAGACCCTACGTGTTCCCACTTGATAAATGCTTCTATTTTCACAGCAAGCAATAGCTACTTAATCTCAATTTCCATTATTAGTCGGAGAAAGAAGCAAAAACATAATTTAGAACTTCATGCTAATTGGCTGCTGATAGCTTTTTTCCCCAGCATCTTTCCTTAAGTCTTGCACCCAGTGCTCAGTCCTCCTGTCAAGTCCTTGGCAGCAGCAGGGTGAAGAGGCTCAGCTTGCTCAGGTCGAGTCTAATGCTGAGTCTGCAGCCCAGAAGGCAGGGAGAGGCATGGCAGGCAGGCAGGGCTCTGGCGCACGTCCCCACTTGGAAAATGTCAAGTCAACAAACTGGCACATTCGAATGGTATTATTTTGGCAGAACAGAAGGAAAGAAGAGACAGAAGCATAAATTAAATCTCTGCTCCTTGATGCACAAAGACAAGATGTTTGCTCTGTTAAAAAGGCTGCAAAAGGAGCTGGCTGCTGTTCTCGTCTGCAGTCGCTGCCAGGGTTTTGATGTCTGCTCAAATCCTGCTGGAGCCTCCTTGGGCTGGAGGCCTGTCAGCCCTTGTGTGCCTGTGCAGGGCTGAAGCTCTGTGCCACTGGCCACTGCCTGTAGTCAGCTTCCCAGGGGGATGTCACAGCTAAGCCAGGGAGGAGTTGATCTCATTTATAATTAGTGATCTGAAATAAAAATGTATACAAAATAAATAGATTATATAAAGTTTGTATAAGATTGGATGTTCATCAGTCACGGTCTCTTTCTAAATAGAAGCACTGCCTTGCTTTGTCCTACAGGCTCCTCTGCAATTTCCCAAGGTTCAGGAGATTATTTAGTTAATAATCAAATTTTTCTAGGATTTTCAGTACTTTTCCTTTTAAGGTATGGTGCACTGAATAACTTCCCCTCTTCCCTTTAACATTTCTTTTATTGTCTGTAATTGCTCTCCAATTGTTACTTCTGAGAATATATTCTTTGCCATATAGGGCTCACAAAGAATCCCAGAGCTATTCAGTAATAATCTTACCAGGTAAGTCTTCAGTCAGCCTCACCTAAGATTCAAACAATTACCTGTGGATATCTATCCGTTATCATATTGTGTTCAATTTCCTTCTCTGAGCTCATAGCATCCCTCTATGTAAACAAGCTTTTCCACTTGAGTTGATGTTTTCCATCGTGAGTGTTTCTGAGATACTTCTTCAGTGTAGAACGGTTTAGAAAAAAACAATTTTGGAAATTTTGAAAAAGTTACAGTAACATAAAACCATATGGAAATGCAATGAATGGAAAGAATATCAAGGATATTAGGAAGCATTGTTTCCTCCTCTAAATTTCTTTATAGCATAGACATAAATAAACCCAAACTTGGAAAACTTTCGGTGGCATAATTTTTTTTTTTTTTGTTGTTGTTGTTGTTTTTTTTGTTAGGTAATTTAAGTGGATAAATATACATACACATATACACTACATGAAAGGGTTTGTTTCATTCTTAGGAAATCTGAATTTAAAACTTATTTTTGTAAAGCATTTTCATGAAGATGAAACACTTGTTGAGAAGCCCAGCCTGAACTTTCATTTCTTTTAGTTCACCTCTGAAAAGCAGTAGTGGTTTGTAAGATCTGCAGCATTTCTGACCAGTGAATGGTCCCAGCAGAGGAACTAAGGAAGGAGTTTGTGAGGTCTAGACTATGTAGTTTGTAAGATCTAGACTATGAAGGACAGAAGGCTGTTTTTTCTCTGAGGGAAGGGCAAAGGAGCTGTAATAGCATATTAGCAATTTATATTGTCATCCTTGGCATCCTGCAGCAGTCAGAGAATTGCATTTCAGTCGCACAACTTATTTATTGTGTAAAAGTGGGGACATTCTGATTGCTCACTGCCTGTGTTCATTGTAAACAAGCAATAACAAAATTGCATACTGAAAACTACAATTTCAGTGTATAGTTATACCAGTGAAATCTATTTTAAGCTCTCCTGTCCTCTGCCCTGAAAGGATGGGTGAGAAGGAAATGATGCATTGGTAGAACTACACTGACGTGCTTGTGTGAGTTGTACATCACACATTTTAGCAGACACCCAAGGGGCTATCATGAATAATTCATGAGAGAGAAAAAGATGCTCTTTGTGCCTGGCTGCACACCTCTGTGCAGGACACCAAAGTGCTTCTTACATAGAGAGTGATGTGGAGCAGTCTTTTACTGGAGTAGAGTTCAGCAGAAAGTCCAGGAAGTGGTTGTGGGGATGGTGGTCTCATCCCAAAGCACTGAGAGTGGAAATTAGGAACTGCTGCCAGTATTTATGGAGAATCAATCCTTCCTTAGTTACCTCTGCCGGAACCATTCACAGGTCAGAAATGCTGCAGAAAAGATCAAAGATGCAGCATTCTGCCATCAGCTGGGAGAGATGCCACAGAAAAATGGGATAATCAGAAAATGAATGACCTAGGGTGAAAAGGAAGCTTGTTTAGGTTTATGTGTTTCCCAAGCAGTGCAGCAAGTCATTGTTGACAGAATCATCAGTGGCAAGTCTATACAAAGTGTCTGATAGTCAGAACTGTAAATTAGAATATAATTTTAAAATCCAAAAGCCAAACTTCAATGACAAGTTATAAAATGACAAACCAGTTTTTATTGCCTTCAGAAAGATCTGACTCAGACCTAGGCCTGCTCAGCTACTGAGAAAAGCCTGTGCAGGTATAATTTTGATGACGCTTTAACAACTTTGGTCAGCTGGACTTTCTCCTTTTTAGGGTACTTAGCAGTAGAGAAGGTTAGAGTAGGTATGGAGACTGTCATCTGCTGTTTGGGTTTGTTCTTCATCTACAACTTAGAGCTACTGTCTACTTCTGTACTTCTGCTCCCATAAATTCTGTAACGCCTGCATTACTCAGCCGAATGTTCTTTTGCTGTGGGGTCACCTAAGTAGAATACCTCACCCTGAAGTGTGTTTAGAGTATATATATTGACAGTCATTTAAGTTCAGGTTCATCTGAGAAACTGTTACACAGAGTAATTCAGTACTTTGATAAGTGCTAATGCTGTGCCTTTGCTGCACTTAGGTATCTGCACAGAAATTATTTCTGTCATGTTAAGAAATTTAAATCAGAGCAGTCTCACACTGACGTGACATTCATCATGGGCCAGAAACTTGAAAGAAAAAACATATTTTCATTTTAATGCAAGTATTTTGTTGTCGAGCAAATGGCAAACTTGACAGTTTTGAGGAGTTAATTTGAGCTGTGCTTGAGTTAACTCTAGTAAAGTCAGGACTAGGATTTCATGAACCTTTTTCAATGTTGTTCTGGCTGATGGCACCATGGTCTCAGATGTGCCAGTCAAAGGCAATGAGATACAGCATTGCTCTCTCACATGCAGCTCACGCAACAGGAGCAGCAAATCTGTTCTTTTAAAGATGAAAACTTCTGGTACATGTGTGGTGTGGATGAAAAAGGGACTGCAATATTTCTCTATCTTCATTTTATCCCATTACTCATTTCTTTAGCATGATAAGTGTGCTCTGAATACTTTTTCTCAACTACTGATTCCTTCAGTTTATTACAGGAGGAGCTCTGATGATTTCTATATATAGGTTGCTTCAAAATTTCCATTATAAAAGCTCTTCTGAACTCTTTAGAGAAATGCTGACACTATTATTATCATGTCCATGATATGTCTTTGGATTCTGGCAAGCAGAAAGCCTTAAGGTTAGAGAAATGTCTCTTTTTTGTTCCCCAAAAAGCCACTCAGCTATAAGCTGTTACATCTCTGTTTCTCTTTGTTCACATTACTTCAGAAATTTCTGGCATCAGAAAAAATAACACCAGAATATTCAAAGGACTTGTCTAAACTTGGAAATTGCAAACTGTGGCTTTTAAATCTGATATTTTGAACTAACTTCACATGTATGCACTTAACTTTTATACTGAGGTAAATAGAGATACAGTTGTAGGGCAGTAACAAGGAGAGGGTGTTATTGTGTGGCTGTATTGGCTGTTTCAGAGTTTTCCTTCTTGACAATGAGTTCTTCTGAGGCTGAACCACAGGAAATCCCCAGGTGCCTGTGGCACTCCGCAGGAAGGATGGCCTGGTCTCTTCACTCCCCTTTGCTGGGCACATCCTTCCCTGTGGTCAGCACAGAAGCACAACACACACAGCTTTTGTGGAGTATCCAGTTCTCTTTCCCTACAAGTGCTTTGTGCTGCAGCCTTTTGTTGTGCAGACTCAGAGCTTTCCCTTTGCACCACGCTCATTTCAGAGCACAGTGGGTGCAGACAGAGAAAGTAAGGTCGCACAGTCATCTGTAAGTTTTTCACTCCCTGACTTCTGAGTGCTTTACTTTGGTCTCCATACACTTAAAATCAGTTTTGGTGAGCAAAATGACATTTACTGAAAGAACTGTATTGGTAAAAGTCACAGCCTTGGTAGAGGCACGCTGGTGTAATGTTCCTCTTTTCATGCAAAAATGTTATAATGGTGTAGAACATATTTGTACATCTTGCCTCATGGAGATAGTCGAACTGTAATGTTTGTACCCTTTCTTTTAGTTGAACACTTGAGGATTTCAATATACTGAATTTACAAAGAAAAACCGTAAACACAGAGTATTTTTATGTTTGGAAGGAGAAAGAACTGACTACCAGAGGACTATTTAGTTTAGTAGGGAAGAGATGGTCAATGCGGCAGAAAACGGAAAACAAGTTAATATTAAAAATTAGGCATTGATTCTTAGCAAACAGAATTCTTTACCAAGAGAAATGGGTGTGTCTAGATATCCTCAGACTAAGTCTTCATGCCTGTGTGAAAAGTGGGCTCTATTCCAACCAAAATTATTTAGTTCAAAGCAAGGCATGATTAAGGAAATTTAGTGGCTTGTGATTAGGGTCAGACTACTTAATGCAATTCTTTCTGTTTAAAAAATCCTGTTATTGTTCTCTTGATGCCATATATACAATGCTTTTAAAAATTGCAATTTAGCCATCCATTTTCTCATCTGAGAGCAGTAAGACATTTCTTGGCATCCACTGCTTGCACTTCAGGCTTTTAAAAGTGCTCTTCTTTGTGTCTCACAGCACACCTGAGGGATGCACAAATAGCCTGTCTGTGCCTATATTGCTGTTGCTGAAGTGAATTCACTGTTCTGTAGTTTTGTCCTGACTCACAGCAGGCAGCATTGGAAGCAGATATTGGTGCCAGAGAATAGGTTTTGTATTAAAATAGCGGAAGCCAAAGCTGTTGGACTAGAAAGCATTTGTCTCTCACTGATATTTCACTGGCATGCAAATGTTAAAATGATTTTGTAAAAGCTTTGTAACATTTATTTTGTAACCTGGAACTTCAGAACAAGAAGTCTTTTCTGCCCATTTAAAGAGCAAGATTTTGTTTTCCTGTAATGCATTGAGCTGGTAACAATTTCAGGTGGTGTGCTTCAACATAGCCAATTTTTGCTCAGTTAGGCAGCTGGATAAGAAATTCAGGCTTTGCTCATTAGTGTGCTGTCCCCTCATGAAACACAGTTCTGTATTTGACTCTGTGATCCCAAAAGTTCATCTTCTGGAAATCACTGACTTAGAAACAAATAATTTGAGCCACAACAGTGACACTGCTCAGAGCAACACAAACACTCTAATGCACTAATGCAAAGGAAAAATAGATCATGAGGATGCAGCGATACTGCTTGGGTTTAAGTGGGATGTAAGAGGTAGGTCAGCAATTTCAGAGCAGGTACCCTCAATCCACGTCTTGAGCAGTAGTAAATAAAAAGAAAAAGAAATTGGATATGTGAGATAGTTAAAGGTAAGAACATGTGATACCTCCATGAAATGACAATCCTTACTCTAGTTTGCACAGTGGCTCACTCGTGGTTATGAATAGCAGCAACTAAACCCATACATGATTTCAAATTTCCTTGCCTTGTGTTGTATGATGAAACATCTTCATGCATTGATGGATTTATTTTTTGCTTTACTAATCCTCATTTAATTTCCAGTTCAAGGTGTCTCAAATAAAACTCTGGATATGGTGACTGAATGTTACATATTTGATTGTTTCCTTCAGTTCAGAGTCTTCAATATGAATTTTTCAGTGCCAAGTTTAATTTTTACGAGCTTGTTTGTTAAGCTTTTTCCACATTGTAGCACACCAAAGTAATACAGGTTGTTATTTCAAGGATCTTTTCAATAATTGTACCTTCACAATGTTTTTTTCCCTTCCACAGGACGTTACCCAAAACTTGTGTTTCACTTTGAACTCAAGAGAAACATATTGTATTTCATATTAGAGACATATGTGCCATCCATCCTTCTGGTTGTGCTCTCCTGGGTGTCATTTTGGATAAGCCAGTCATCGGTTCCAGCCAGAATCTGCATAGGTGAGGAGCTGATAAACCAGCCCAAACCCAGGGCTGGGCCACCGAGACGCCTTCCCTATTGCACCTACTTGGCATCCGTGTCCTGAAGTTGCAAACGCTTCTGAGTTTTATGGAATTACTTTTTGGGTTTGCCATACTCAGTGCATCATGTGGATTCCCCTTAAAGCCTTGCTATTCTTTAACTAAGAAAAATGCCTTTGGCAGCTACAGGAAGGAGACTTATAGACAGGGGAGGCCGCTGAAATCAAAGCAAAAATTATTTTGGAAATAATTTAAACATATTCAAATACAGGGCATGCACAGACAATTGTGAGGCTTTTGTGAGGTCTCACGATACATACTAATTAACACATGAATAACAAGAGAATTATAAGAGATTAAATATAATTAATTTCAAAGGAAGGATATTCTGAAAGGGAAAGAATGCAAATCAGGTTTGATCAGGCTGCAGGTGTGATGAAAAAATACTCCTACAGAACAGGGAATAAAGAAGGATTTCACACTGAATGAGGCCAATGGGCAACTACACTGAACAAAATGATATCTGAATGTTCTAAAGAGACCTTTTGCATAGATTTGCAATAATAATGTGTTAATCATAATTATACATTCCATGACACCAAAATCTCTCTCATTTTAATTTCTGGTCTTCTAAGCTTTGCTAACATTTTCTGTTACTCTTTTTAAGTATTTAACTTAAGAGTCACAAGTTAATTTTAAAGTCTTCTTCCTAAAACATGACCCATTAAATGCTGTGTAATCCTAGGAGTTTCAGATCCAGGGAAAACTCTCCTGCAGTAGAGGCCCTCAGTGCCATCTGTGTTATACTAGAACACACATTTTTCCATTCCACAGGTGTCACCACAGTCCTTACGATGACAACACTGATGATGGGAGCCAGGACTTCACTCCCAAATGCTAATTGCTTTATTAAGGCAATTGATGTGTACCTTGGTATCTGCTTCAGCTTCATCTTTGGAGCATTGTTAGAGTATGCTGTGACTCATTTCTGCACTCTGCACCAACTCAGCTCAAAGGAACTTCCAAAGGTAAATTAATTATTTGGTGTTGTCCTACAAACTGGATTTAAATTACCTTTGCTAAAAGGAATGAATTATCTTAGCACTAATGGTAAATGCATTTAAGGTAGTTTCTTTTTTAGAATTAGGGCAGGGAAACATAATAATCTTGAGAAAAAGAAAAAATATTCGTATACCTGGAGCTTTTCTGGAAGAGACCAAACAAACTGAAGCACTCTTCCTTCTCTCCTTTGGTATGGGCTTTATGGCCACTTATAAAATGTTATGGATGTCTCACAAAAAATCATAATCACTTCTTGTCTCACAGGCAATAGCATTAACTCACAGTTCAAAAACTGGTCTGAGCTTGGTGGCTTGATGCTACTGCAATATGGAAAAAAAAAAAAGAGTTTATACGATTCCATTTATGAAACTTGCACATGCATGGAACACAGGTCAGTCTCCTGGCAGATGTCTTCATGTGCTGGGTGTATCAGGTCCCTGTAGCTTTCTGCTCTCACCTTCTCTTTCAACAGCTGCACCTGAAGTCAGACTGGGATCCATTTTCCCTTCTGCATCATTTTTATAACAGTGCTTTTTGTGGCTCTGTAGAGTTTCTCACAACTCTAAAATACTCTGAAATATACTTAAAATAAAAATGGGTGAAATCAACATCGGTATTTTTGAGTCTGATGGTTGCTGAAATAATGAGGACAGGTTCATGAAGAGGTTTTGTCACATCTTCCATCTCCAGTGTATAGCAGTGCTTTCATAAGCAAGGAAAAATAAATCACAAGGAAGCTGAAAGATGATTGTCTTGCAGATTTTAATTATGGAACTGAACCTAATATGCATGATAAAGAAAATTTTAAGCAGCTTATGAAATTTCTGGATTAATAGAAAAAAGTGAAAGATGGAAAATGAGAATAACAGGAAGGGAAAAGAAAGGCAGAAAGAAGTTTGGTTGAGTGCTGTAGGGATAAATGTCCAGAAGCAGAAAGATTGTTAACTGTTTAAGCCAAATTAGAACAGAGCATCACAAATGCCTAAACAAAGCTCCTCAATATACTCAAGAAACAAGATACTGAGCTCAAGTGGAGGAGCTTCAAAACCTTTTGAAGGTCAGGCAATACGTGGGTGGGGGGGGGTTATGCCTAGATAGTTCATCAATTAATATGAGATTTTGGCTGTTTGGATGAAAGATAGGTCCTGCAAATGGACAAGAATATGTTAAGAGTGGTTGTTGGGTCTAGGTGTGTGGAGAAAGACTGCAAAATGGACACAAAGCTGAGCCACCCCAGTGGGTTGTGTGAGATAACGTCTATCGGGGATTGTCTGCAAATGGGCAAACACCCATTTCAAGTGAGGATTTAAGTAGAAAGCCTATAAGTAATTTTTATTGGCAAGGCAACATCAGTGACAATTCCCTGTGAGCATATCCATCTTGTGAAGTAAGTGGTTGTCATTTTGCTCATAGTGTACGGGAAAAAAAAGCTGCTTGGAGGTTCTGGTAAGAAAGTAAAGTGTTTCAGTGCTCGGATGATTAAGCATCTTTGGCTCTGTGAAGGGCACTTATGCTGTCCTTGCCTTCACCTGCCTCTGTCAGATTCCCTTTCATCTGGAGCAGGTACTCGTGCTTGCAGGTGGGATAGACATGGGAACTTGTAGATATCAAAAATGTGCATGGAAGTACGGGGAGGTACAGCTGTAAAATGAGAAAGGAAAGTTTTGTGATGAACTTTAGGACCAAAAGAAATAGTCTTTCACTTCAGGCTTGTTTTCTGCTTTCTGCTGGGCATCAGGAGTGAGCAAGCAAGCCAAATGCACTTCTTGCCCACATAAAGAGAGGGGTATAAAAGAAGGAACAGTTTTTTGGTCCTAGATCAGCTTGTGACTCTATAGAATAAGGAAAATTCTTGTCATGTCTTTTTCCTACTGTAGCCAAGGGCAAGCACCACTTACTGATCTGGGTGTCACGGAGAGCACACCTGATTTGTATTTCTCATTTCTTGTTGTAAAAACAAAAACATCACAAGGGCAAAAATACCAGCTAAAATCTCATGTCACTGTCTAGCAGCTACTTAGCAATTTATGTGTGAGTATCGTCACTGCAAATGTGTTGTCCTCATTATCAAATTCTCTTGTGGACACAGGTTAATTGGAAATCTCACGTCCCAGTTTGTTATTCCCATATGTGAGCTGGTAGAAAATTTGCACTCAGAATTATGTAAATAAATGTAGGAGGTGAAATGGAAATGTCACTGTCTCTCTTGTATAGGAATTAGTGGTACTCACTTGCCTCCCACTTTGCTCTTTGAAGAAGTTGGGCACTGGCATATCAAACCCATCTGAAGCCCCTGAGATCTCCAGTTTATAACATAAACTGGTGAAAGAGCTCATCATACCCACGCTCTTGCCATGTTTCACATCATGTGAACCAGGACCCACAGAGACACCTTCAAAGCTAATGGCAAAAGCACAGGAACCACCTGCTGCAAGGAAGGTCAGGCAGAATGTGCCATTCACATCAGCTCCAGAGCAGCAGGCTGCTTCAAAGGAGAGGTTGCCTCACCTGAGCTTCTTCTCTTTTGTACAAAGGCGTTAATTGTGCCCTCTTATAAAGCACAGAAATATTCCTTGGGTTTCCTCTGTCTTTTACCTAAACCTCCACCGTTAAGGCAGAGCAGAGAACAGTTTGAAAACTGCAAATCATTTTGTAAGTGTGATGTTCAGCCTCTGTGGTGTTTCTGTGCAAGCCTCATGCAGTCTTTATGAGAACCAAATAAGCTCCAGGTGTGCAACACTCTGGGCTGAAATATTTTTAAGCTTGAGCAGCTTTATTATCCAGTGAAAGTGACAACTTTCCTCAATTCTGTTGGCTCTTGGATGTCAGCAAACACTTCACTTAGTGCAAACAGCAGCCCCAGTATCAGGTGTCATAGACAGTGCTTTTTGGGTGATGTACAGCATCTTTCCTGGATGGTACTGATTTGGTATCTAAATAGAGCCCTCCTTAGTGGCAGCTGCCATTTCCTCACTGACAGCTGGCATCCAGAAAAAAACCCTAGTATGACATTTAAAACTGGAGCCACAGCTGAACACTCAAAACACAATTTATTTTTTTGATACAGTGTAAACCAGATCAGTCTTTCATCATGCTCAGTTCTTCAAAACAATCTGGAAAAGTCCCATGATAAACCCACAATATAAGACTGCAGTTTTTTATAAATTAGCCGGTATGGTTCTCTAGACTAGCTCCCTCCTTTCCCAGCTGTGATGCAGCACTTCTGCTCTAAACTCTCCTCTGTTTTGCAAGAGCCCTGCCCTGTTGCACTGCAGATAGAATCCTGTACACATGCACTGCTTATGGTATTTTCTGCTTAAGTGAGAACTGCCCCTTGGGGAGCTGAAAGGAGTCAAGAACAGCCTCATAACACATCAGCCTCCTGGGAATCACTCACATGCAGTTGTGAGAAAGGAGAAGTGGCACGTACACAATGTCCTTTCATGCTCTGAAATAAAACTAATTCTGAACAACTGATAGCCAGCCCTACCTGAGAGAAAAATAGACTCTTAAACTGAGCAATGCCCCAAATCCTGATGGTTTTGAAGTACAGATGTCGTAATGAAAAATGAAAGCAGGGGAAAATGTCGGAATTCTTCTGTCAGGTTCCTTTATTTTATTAATTTTTGAAGTGCTGAGTGCATTCATTAGGCTGTTGCTCCAGAGCCTCATTTCAAGTGCCAGGCACTGCTGACAAAAGCTCCTCTGCCATCCTCAGCACTCCCCTCAGCTGCCTGGACTTTTTGAAGCAGAAGAGAGAGAGATTTATAACAGAGTCAGGCCTCAAGTGAAAACTTGAGGTTTGAATTTTAGTACTACCCTGGGGATTTTTAAAGTTTCAAACTGGAGTTTTATGGGTTGATCCTCTTAATGCTTTATAGGCAGATTTTTGTCCCAGCCTTTCACAGAGGTGTGGGAGGCCAGGTGGAGGATGACCAAGGTTTTTTTGGTCATTGTATTTTTAGGATGACACATGTGTTGAGCTACGTTTATCTCTCAAATAAAATATCCTTTTTTTTTTTTTTTTAATTGAAAGTGGAAAGCTGCATTAATCGCTTTTCTACTGCCATTTGTTCTGCTTCACTGATTCACAGCAGTTTGAGGACATTGTCCAGGCTCCACGTTAATTTTCAAGGGTGTCAGTAATTTTAGATGAAGAAGACAGGCTCATGCTGTACATATGCACCCTGGGCAGAAGAGCAATTCTGTACCCGCATGGAGACCACTTAGGTGGTTTAATTGGCTTTCTTTGACTTTAATAGCTGGGGTATACCTAAATGAGCTTTTTGTCTGGCTGCATATGGGGATGTACATCTTAACCTTTCGAAAGTTTGTCCTTGTGTAAACTGTTTCTTCTCATGATGCAAATGGAAAAAAGCAAGTTGGTCAGAGGAAAGAGATTCTGCATTCTACACTTCACAAATAATTTTTTTAGACTTGTCTTACATTTATGCCACCTACTGATTTGGGGGGGGGGGGGATAAAACTATCAGGAGAAAAAAATATTATATATATGCCTACCTGAATTAAAATGACCTCTCCTCAAAGTAGGCATAATAAGGTTTGGTTTAGATACAAAATTGGAGCCAGCCTTTGTAGCTTTTTTCTGCTGGTGTCTCTGCAATATCCCAAGCCAAACTGAATACCCCAGAAATTCCAAGGAAGTTTTAGAGCTGAAGCTGCAGCTGATGTCTAATCCTGTGTCTTCTGACTCAGAAAAGCCACTGACTTCAAAGGGTGAAAATTTCATACACGAACTTTATGGCTCTGAGCCATTTCTAATCAGAGAAACAAAACCCACCAGAAGGCTTATACAACATTCTCCAAAGACCTGTCTTGATGCAGTGAAGAACATAAAAATATTCTTAACCCTAGCATAACTTTGAACTTAAAGCATGGGTTTCAGGACTTGACAGAAAGTATCACAAGCTATTCAGTATTAAGTCAGCTGTGGGTGGGGCTTGTGCCTCTTTATTTTTAAAGTCGCTTGATTTTTGTCACAAAGCACCAGAATGAGGTAGCCAGTTACACATAAGGAGAGTGTCTTGTATCCTGGGGTGCTTGATTTGGGGTGCAGCCAGCTCAGCAAGGTCTGGCAGCTCCCCCACCCTCTCCATCTCCAGGCTGGGGCTTTGCCTTCGCCCTTCCTGGGCACTAACCTGTGCCGGTATTTGCCCTGAGCAGAACACAGTTTACTGTTGTGCCTCTCAGGGATTTGCTGCTGTCTTAGGTAAAGTTCCTTGTCCATATTTGAACAAATCCAGATTTGCTTGACAGTGCTTCAAAAGTTTTTGCTGTATAGCGTTGTTAAGTCAATGTTTTCCCCATAAATGGAGGCTTTGAGGGCTGAAAGGAGCTGCCTGGGGCATGCAAGTGCTTGTCCTTGAAGTCGAGGAGTGAGACATTGGAGGAGTCAGAAGAGAAATCCCATTTGCTGCAGCTCTAAATAAACAGGTGTTGAAACATGCACTTAAGTACCTGCTGTTGTGTTCCCTATCAGATTATTGATGATGATGATGATGAAGAAGAGAAGAATGGAGTCCTGGCAGCAGTGACAAACAGTTGCAGTGCCCCTGACAATACGAACAAGACCGATTCAAACAAAAGCAAACAAACCAGCACTGACAGAAAAAGGGAGAGAAGTCAACACAGTGTGTGCAGTTCAGCGATGTCGGTAATGAAAAGACTTTTCTGTATCTTTGACTGCTTCCATGTTAAAAATCCTTACCACATAGACAACTATGCCAGATTCTCTTTTCCATTATCATTCATCATAATTAATGTGCTTTATTGGGTGTATTATTTGTATTTATAAATATTTTATTTCTTAATATTAAAGTTTAGAAAGGGGAGGGTAAATTGCGAAAAAATGGATAAATTACATTTGGATAAAGGGATACAAAAGGACATGCCACCTTTTCAAGTGTGTCTGAAAATTTTGTTAACTCACTTTTCTGTATTTAAATGTCTGTCATCCAAAACTGGTTTTGTATTAGCATGCATGTCCCAAACTATTTATCAAAGGCCAGTAAGTCCTTTTTTTTTTTAATATTTAATGCTCAACTTTGCAAATAAGAGTTATATTATACTTGTTTTTGAACTCCATTGAATAAATGTAAAAATGAAATGAAATGTTGCTTTCCTTTTCTGCTTTCTGTACTCAGTTCCTTCTAGTTTTGTCAATTATGCATACATTTTCCAGATTATATAAGAAAATGTTTAATTGCAGATCAAAGTGGTTTTGCTATGTAGCAAGAAACAGTTCTGAAGACATGAGCTATCAACACAAACAAATAATCTGTTAATCTTTGTAAGGTCACAAATATTTATTAAGATCCCTCTACATTTTTAGACACGACTCCTATAGTCATCAATGGCTTTTCTCAGAAAGTGCAGGGCAGACTACAGAAATGGACCTGAGCCAAAAGGTTTAAATCCAGAGAGATGTATTTCTCTGAGTGAGGATTTAGTTGTTCACCAATCCTTAATGGAAAATGATAATTTATCCTGACGTTTGTACTCTGCTCAGTCACAACTGCCTGGGTAACTACTATGTAGAGGAAAAATTTGATATGCTTAATTTTCAGCTTAGTAAATCCTCTTGAACTACATGCAGTTAAAAAGTTTTCACATAAAGGTGGAAAACTTCTTGAATAGAAGAGAAAACCCTGTATGTGTGATAGCTCTTGATAAGATAGAAGTTTTACACAGATAAAATGATGACCCACATGAGAGAATGGTTAGAGGTCTTGAAAAACCATAATAGTCTTTCCAAGTGGTTACTTCACTGACAGATACTACCAGCCTGTCTCCTGCACTGCAAGCATGGAAGTTGAAAGGTGCTTGTTATTATACCTTTTTCCTGACCATAATGTATGTGTCTGTTGCATATACAGGTATAAATGTGTGCATGTGTATTTCTGTGTATTTCTGTGTATTTCTGATGATCAGACTCACTGCACACATGCAAATACATTAAAAAGCCCCCCTAACAGGGGCAGACTTGGACACACCTGATCACTATCGTGCTGCCTGTGAAGAACATCATTTTGTGAAGGAAGAAAGTGGAAAATATCAGTGTGAGACAGATTTGTCCTTGCTCCCATCTAAATCCATAAAAATCATTGCACACTGGTAGACAATTATTAGGTCACTAAAATACCCTCAGTTATTTTTTTTTTTCTAAAGGCTGACTACTGAAAATTTGTTTCTCTGCTGTTATTAGTAATACTTTTTGCAAAGCTTTTTGGGGCAATGCAGCTTCAAGAGCAGTCTAGTGGCTCTTGGTACCTTGTGACTATTCTGGCTTTCATATGAAAGTAAATACATTCAAGAAATCAAATTAACGCTGCCTGTATTAATGAGCAACCAAAAAAAAATCTTTTATTTAACATTCTGCTACTGAATATTTAACTGAAATAATTTCCTTTATTCAGGAACAGGCTGTATGACATTTTTTCTTGGAGGTGTAAAACTGGACTCTCAGTTTCCAATTCCAAAACTGGACTCCTTCTAATTCTTACTCTCATAAAATTCAAAGAAGACAAATATTAAATCTTTGTACTTTTCTTAATTTGAAGTTTACATTGTTCCTGAATCTTTTCAGTTACCTGTCATGTTAACACTGTATTTGGGATTAACATTTACTGCAAGGATAAAGTAAGCATTTAGAGTTTTTTAGCTTCCAATTAATTTGGAGAAAATTCACCTTAAATATTACTTTTAAAAATTGTTGAAAGTCTGAGCATCTTTATTTACAATGCACTAGCTGAAACCAGGTCTGTTTTCCCACTGATGTGCTAATTGTAAGTAGTGCTATACAATGAAGTCCCCCATGTTTTCATGAAAGAATTGACTGCACAGACAGATTATTCAATATTTTGCTTTGCATAATTCTGCATTAATTGCTAATTTAAAAAATAAAACCTGTTTCAATGTGAATTTATTGTAAAAGATGTTCCCAACAGATTTCCAGTGTGGTGTATGAAGAATGAAGAAGATAATTTGAATTATTCTGTTCAAACATTGTTTCTGTCCCTAGAAACTTCTGAATCCCTTGGAGTTAGTTGTAAAGGCTCCCCTGAGTAAGGAGCACTCATGAACAATTCACTGAATGCTACAACTCAGAGGAAAATTAGAGAGGGGGAAATCTCTTTCAGTGCTAAGATCAGGGGCCAAAGTCGAGGCTGAGGGAATGAAAATTACATTGGTTCATATCTGATGAAAATACCTTGGCCTTTTGGCAACCATTTTCTGGTTGAAAGCTGAGATTCTTACTTTGATTTTAATGTTTTCTAATCAGACTCATAACTCAGAAATGTTGTATTTTGAGACCACTTGAGGCAGATGTGCAATGAGGGACCCGAGGCAGGGGAAGGGGGTTACAACAGGAGCTGATGGTGCATCCTCATGTGCTTTGCTTTGCTCTTAGCAGGACGTGCCCTGCTTTCCATGGATCTGAGAGCAGCAGCCAGCCTGAGCAATAACTCCTTCCTTTGTGCAGTGTCTCCAAGCCTGGTCTTTTAATTGATTCAGCAGCCATCACGTAGCTGTTTAAGCATTGTGCAGACTAGAAAAACACCTCTTACCTTAGCAAGATCTTTGATATTGTTTTCTTACTAAATGGAAAAGTATTATGAAAATAAAATCCTATGCTGAGATATTTAATCAGATAAAATATTTTATTCTTTTTCTATATTTTAGACATACAAAGCTATTAATACTTGCTACCTTTCCTCTTCATCAATTATCTGGTGTTCTTCTGATTCACCTATGCTTTAGGTAAGAATCTCCTGCAGCCTGCTTACTGTGGTGCCAGTGATACTTTGAGAGTATTTGAAATATTTCACCTAAATCAAGAGGGAAATACTAAGGAAGGTGATATTTTAGATCAGGTATTCATTAACCCTCTCATAAGCTAAGAAGGCATTTTAAGTCACCATCAGATAATTTCTTTTGAGATGTGAACAATTAAATATCCCATCTGAATACTCCAGGCAATATGGCAAACATAAGAGAAGGGCGTCCATCTGTTGATCTGAGTACCCATTTTCAGCACAGTGGCCTTGTTTATTAAGACTGCAAGAGGAACTTAAATAAATTTTCCTGCTTTGTAAGCCTCTTCAGTTTTTTGTGCTAATTATTTTAAGAGTACTGTTATGCCTTTTTTTCATGGAAAAATACATTTAAAAAAAATAGGTGCCACACGTTGTCAACCTGTAATTCAAAATGAAATTTACCTAAAAGATTATATATTAAAGAAAACCCACGTACAGTAAAGATGATGACAGAAAAGCAGAAGAAGAAATACAAAGAGGTGAATGTTCTGCTAAGAGCCCGTGGCAGTGGCTGGTGCAGCAGAGTGCCTGGAACTCCTCTCCCAGTGCAGCCTGGGGAGGTGCTGGGGAACTGGAGCTGCTGGAACAATTCACTCCGTGCAGCAGTAGATGGAGCTCATTAACTGCTCTTCATCACCGAACGAGCAAATGCAAATGGCAAATGATAGTTAAGGAGGACTCCGGGGAAAAGCTATTACAAGCTGACATTTGTACTGTGGTAACTAGGTCGTGTTTGTAGTGACAGATTAATTAAAGTCAGGCAGGACAGCATTGTCAGGTGGACTATTTTTCACACTGAAGTTCAGGCTTCTCAAGCCCTGATTGTTGTTTCTACCATTTTAGCTGCTGAAATCGAACATATTCTGCCAGTCCACAAAGTAACTTCATGACTGCCTGATGTAACTTCATGACATACCTTGTGTTTAAAGCATGAATTTTCCTTCTGTCAGGGTTTTCTGCTGCAGGTTATAATGTTTCAAATGAAAGCATTACAGCACCTCAGTATCTCAAGGCAGGCAGAATAGTGGCTCTATTAACAGTTTTCCTATAAAGATTTATGAATCCTAAATAGATGTTCTCAGGTAGTTCACTGGCATACTGCTAACAGTTTCACAAAGATCAAGATAATTTTCAAAGCCAGTTTCAGTCAAGAAAATTTCCCTTGAAAGAGGGCTGGTTGCAAAGGTGGGAAGATGAGCTGTGAGAGTCTTCTGGGTGGATTAATAAATCACTGCAAGAATAAGCCATCTCAACCTGAGAGCTGAAAAGTAGAGTGAATTCTTCTTGTAGAGTAGTGGGTGCTTAACAGTGCTTATAGCAGCTAAGCTGAACATAATTTGAAACTCTGTAATGGATTTGCCATCACTTCTATAAAGTTCTAGAACTTTATAATTAAAACCAGGGGTCCACTTTAATAATATTGCCAAATTCAGGTTTTCATAATTTTCCATCTGGAGACATCTTTCTTCCCTGGTCCCATCTGACTGTCAAACTTTCCATCCTCAGAAAGGATAAGGGGATATTCGAGGGCATTTCAGTCTCATGATGTGAGTTTACTCATATAATTTGGGTTCTGGGTTTCTTTCCAAATTGGAATGGACCCCATTTTCCTATTCCAGATCAAACACAGACAAAACTGCAGAAGATGAGAAACCCCAGAAGATTTTAGCACCATCATGTGTGTGCACAAACTATGACCCTGATTCATTTTGAAATTCTGCTCTGAAGTTTAATCCAGATTTAACCAGTGGATAACTTCATCTGTAAAAGCACACAAATATCTCCACTACTGTTGTTTTCCTTGCTGTAGCAGGTAGTTTTGGAAACTCGACAGTGAAAGGCTTTGATGCCAGATTTGATTTCTCCTAAAGGCAAGAAATTTAATCTTTCTGCTTTAAAATCAGATCAGGAATGGATTCAGAATAGCAGCTCTGGTTCTAGTTGGGGCTTGGCCACTTTGGACTCAGAACAAGCTGAC